AACTATTTAACAAGAATATTTATGATGAAAAAAAAATCCCTAAAACAATCAAGATAAATGATTTTGAAAATTTAAATGAAAATTTAGATAATAATATGATTAATGAGCAAGGTATTAAAGATTTTATTAATTTTATTATATATTTTACAATATTTAATTTAAATATTCGTCTTATAATCTAGTTTTAATATTATTTTTAATTCTAAAAGTTAAATAATAAATTTTATATTAAACAATTTCTTATTAACGTTAATTAATAAATTTCAAAATTTTTTTATATATTAAAAAACTAAAAAATAGATAATATTAATCTAACATATTTATTTAATTAAATTAAATATTAATTTATTACGAACTTCTAATTATATAATTAATTTCTTTTTAATTATTATATAATTAAACATTAAATAAATAGATACTTCGTTACCTTTACCAGAAAATAATGATATTGATAGTATTAATGAAGATAGCGATGATAATATTGATGAAATTAATATAATTAATATTAATAATGATAAGGTGAATGAAGAGAATGATAAAAAAGATGAAGAGAATGATAAAGAGAATGATAAAGAGGATGAAGAGAATTATAAAGAGGATGAAGAGGATGATGAAAAGAATATAAATTATATAATGTTAGTATTTAAAGTGTTGAAACAATAAAATCAACACAAATTACATATGAAAATAATGGATCATCTTTAAATACTTGATATCCAGCTTTTGTTGATATTACAAATACTATTTCAGGGGTTACAACTACAGGACATGAAATATTAAGAGAAGCTGCTTGCCAAGATCTACTAATAAAATGGCAAATCAAATGAATAAGAGAAGAAAATGGCCAAATGAATATGCAATAGGAGATTTAGTAAGAATTATAATTCCAAAGATAGACCGTTCTGGTGTTGATCATCCTATCCTCCCTTGTAAAATTATGGAAGTAACTGAGAATAACCAATATATTTTAGGATCAAAACATGGTATTATTAATATATATTATTCACCCGGAGAAATTGAACTCTTGGTACAAAAGATTTTGCTAAACTCAATAATATACCTTTCAATAAAGTTTCTGTTAAAGAAGCTGCACATTTCCAAAGCACTGGAACAGTTACAGAAGTTATTTGTAATTGTAAAAGCAACTGTAATAGCAAGAAATGTAGTTGTAAAAAATCAGGAAAAAATGGTATGCTCGTGTCAAAACAATTAATTTTTTTATACTTGTATTACATATAAATGTATCACAAAGTTACATAAAGTATATGCTGTTTATTGTTACACATTAAATTAAAAATTGCGCCAAAATTTCCGTCGGATGATAAGTGACATAAGTCAGGTGACAACTAACGTGTCGATTGACAGGTTACGCACGTCAGATGCCAATTGATAAATGAGGTGCGTCATCTGTCATCTGACGCAAAATGATAGATGACGCACAACATATATTAACTACAATTAAATAAATTATTTTTTTTTATTATCATGTATTAAAAATTTTAAGCTTTAATATAAATAGAACTGTTTAAAGCTTCCTGTCATATTCAAAGTTTACTTTAACATTATCATTACATCCAAGAGTGAAACTATTTCACTAATAAGAATAAGTGAGTTAAAAGAAGATAATTTAATCGAAGGCTGAAAATTAAAATGTAGCCAATTCGTTCGATTACCGAAATATTAAATTCGAGATGGCTTTCATGACGCAATCTTTAAGGATATTATAAACTCGAAAAATTTTACCATAATCTAATTTTAAAACTTTCTACAATGTGATTAGCTGAGAGGATTCAATTGTGACAAGAAAAGAAACAAACCCCCTATTGTTACAATCATCAATTCGGACTTTGATTTCCTTATATGCAATTTATTTCTAATTATAATTCTTGTAGGAAAAAATGAAAAAGTGATATTAAATTTTAAAAAATTACACTACGGTAATTACTTGATTTTTAATCCGCAAAATTTCGTCAATTTCGTCACTCGCTAATTTTTTTTATGTTCTTTAAACATTTTTTCGCTCTTCATCTCTGCAACTTTAACAACCTCAATTACAAATATAGATGAATGAAAACAAGAATAGTCTGGCGCAGTGCAATCGCGACTATGATGTCATTCGTAAACTGATAATGGGAGACTTATAATTATCTGAACAGTGCAAGCTAATCCCGTACACATTTATGCATTCCTTTTTACGGGGTAGCTTAACTGAGCTTCAGCATCATAATAGACTCTACTCTGGCTTTCTTAAATGTAATAATGTCCCATGTTAATTCGATTCTTCAACACAACACATTATCCGAAAGTTGTTTCTTCAAATTCTACTACCGTTCTCTTCCAACGAAAAAAGCTTATTGTTTGGATTTTGTTTTTTTGTTTCTTAAATTTAAAGAGGAGCCTTGGAACCGAGCTTATTTTATTTTTATCCTCTTTTTGCCTCAGAAAGAATCCTCTTCAAGATTTATCTTTAGGATGGAAGGAGAAAGTTTCGTTCCTAATCCATTATCAAAACTTTAAATGCCTGTGAAATCATATTGATATCATTTTAAATTATTTTAGGGATCTAATTTTTTTATTCTTTAAAAATAATCGTCATTCATTCCTAGAAAGCATGGAACTTATTATTTATGGTAAATCGTCATGGTTTCGAATAAATAAAATATAAATATGAAAATAAAAGGATAAATTTAAAAAAAAATCATTTATGAATTCTGAAAAGAATATTTAAAATAAATTTCACAATTTTATTGATAAGGTTATGTATGACGTATCGTTTCGGCAATTATGATATCATTATGTCAAATATTATTATTGGATCATAAAATGACAGGTCCTTTAAAAGGAAATTGAGAGATAAGAGTATAAAGAGTATATTGCAGTAAATAAATATATAACTTGTCTGTGCCAAAAAGTGACCTACATCAAAGAACCTTTTTTAAATATCGATTTAGAAAACAGGCTAATTTCTTGATTTCTTTGTTAACGACACAATTTTTAAAAAAATTGTTTTAGCCCAAATGCGAAGATTGTTTCAGATGATCACTAGGGATATCCCAAATGAACCACTTAGGATAATATCCCTAATGACTACTTTAGACATTCACAGATATATAGGAAATTAAAATTATGTGCCCAAAAGTTGAATTACTTATTAGGGTGTCCTATATTTGTCATTTGGATCATTCGAAATGGTTTTTTGGAGCATATAATAGTCATATTGAGCATACGAAATGATGGGATAACCGAAGTGATCAGAAGTGAGCATTTAGGATATGATCATTTGGGATATCCGAAATGTTAATTGTTGGGATATTTATCTGAAGTGAGATATCCAAAATGAGCATTTGGGATATTCCAAGTGATCATCTGGGATAAATGAATTGCAATGTCCGAAACATTCTTCACATTCCGATTTGATATCCTAAATTCTCATTTTGGACATTAACGCATTTGGTATACAACATATTTGTGAAAATTATTTCTTACAAGATCAAATGGCGCAGTATGGAACATAGAATTTCCTTTTTTAGCTTGGGTTACTCTGCAAATCCTCGGAAATTTTTTTTATTTAAAGGAGTAAATCGCCATAAATTGTTACGTTAATTAAATTTTAAAAAAGAAATGTCAAATTTCTCTGAAATATCAAATATTAATATCGATTGGTTAGAAAAATCAATTTCTGATGAATATTTCATCTATTATGAATATTCGGACTTCAACAATTTCCAATTAATCGGAAATGGATTATTTGGAAGCGTTATGCGTGCCAGTTGGAAAAATCAGAATCGTTATTTTGTTTTGAAATCTTTTAATAACGATACAGTAACTTTGAAAGAAGTTGTAAATGAGGTAAATAATTATAATCATTTTAAAGTTTGTTAACAAGTTTGAAATTTATTTATATTAAAATTCTTTATAGATAAAATTACATAAAAGAGTTGATTTTCATCAAAATATTATTCGATTTTTTGGTATAACAAGGGAAAGAGCTGGTAACATTATGTATAGGATATATTTAAATTTTTCGACATATATATTAAATTTACTTCATTTTTTTATTAATAGCCAACTCAGTCCATCAAATGAACAAATATTCTTTAGTTTTAGAATATGCTGATGGCGGAACATTAAATGCTTATTTAGATAAACATTTTAATGACCTTGATTGGAATGACAAATATCAGCTAGCTATACAATTGGCAAGTGCAGTAGAGTTCATACACGAATGTGATATAATTCATTGCGATTTGGTAACTATTAACTTTTTTTTTTGGAATTAATTAATTATTTATTTTATTGACTTTGGATACTGTTCATTAAAAAAAATTATAGCATGCAGATAATATACTTCTACATCAAAAAATGATTAAATTAGCAGATTTTGGTTTATCAAAAAAAATTGCTGAAGAATCAAGAATTGCATCGAAAGTATTTGGTATATTACCTTATGTGGATCCAAAGTGTTTAGATAAAAAAAATGATTACAAATTTAATAAAAAATCCGATGTCTATAGTATTGGAATCCTGATGTGGCAAATTTCAAGTGGATATCAACCATTTAAAGGAGTTGATTATGACGAATATTTATCTCTATCTATATTAAATGGCAAGAGAGAAAAAATTATTGATGCAACTCCACCTGAATATAGTAATCTATATCAAGGTAAATAATATAAATAATAATTTTTATTTATTAAAATGAATTCTAATCCTTATTCATTAAATTAGAATGTTGGAACTACGAAAATGATGAGCGTCCAAATATGCTAAAAGTCATTTCAACTCTTAAAGCAATTATTTCTCTTGAAGATGATGAATTGATTAATGCAAATTTTATTGAAGAAATTGAATTACCGATAAAGGATAAATCTAGCATTAGATCAAGTAAAGAAATAGATGAAGATTTAGAGAATTTAGAGTTATCGGAAGATTTCAATTTTTATAATAATATTAATGAAAGCAGATTAAGTTTGCAAAGTAATCCATCTTTTCAATTAAATATGATAAATTTCAAAAATAATTCACTAACTAATATAATAGCTAAAGATAAATCTAGCTTTAAATCAAAAAAAAAGGGAGAGGAGAATTTAGAAGTTTTAAAAAAAACTGAAGATATTAATTTTTATAATAATATTAATAAGAGTAATTCAAGTTTGCAAAGTAATATAACTATTCAATCAAGCTTGACAATTTTTAAAAATAATTTAAGTTCAATATTTCAAGTTGATAATTCATCAAAAAGTTCAGTTGATTCAATATTTATAAATCATATAACTGTTGATAAATTAATTAAATTTGTAATTAAAAAACATAATGAAGGTATTAATTTTGATCAAATTAACGAGTTTATTAAGCAAAAGATATCACGTTTAAACAAAATAGATCATCTTTTAGATTGGCTAAGAAATCAACAGAATACACAATATATATGGTTACTTGGATTATTTTATTATTATAATATTTATATAAATGAAGATAATGCTAAAGCATATGAATTATTTTTAAAAGCAGCAGAAGAAAATTATGCAATCTCACAAGTTTATCTTGCTAAATGTTATTATAGTGGATATGGAATTAAATGTGATAAAAAACTGTCATTTAAATGGTATCAGAAATCTGTAGAAAATAAAAGTATAATAGGAAAATTTTATTTAGGACATTGTTATGAATATGGTATTGGAACTCAACAAAATGAAAAGAAAGCAGTATATTGGTATTATAAATCAGCTATTAATGGAAATATTACTGCAAAACTTCACTTAGCAAATTGTTTAAAATTAGGAAGAGGAATTAAAAAAGATGAAAATCAAGCCTTTATATATTATAAAATCTTAGCAGAAAAAGAAATTTCTGATGCTCAATATCAATTAGGAAATTGTTTTTATAATGGAATTGGAACAGAAATAAATCAAAATGAAGCTTTTACTTGGTATAAAAATGCTGCAAATAATGGTAATATTATTGCAAAAGATACTTTAAAAAAGTATTATAATATAGATATCGAATTAAATAAAAGCAAAAATAATAAATTTTATAAAATAATATACTTTAAGGGATTAAGGCAAATTGGTTTGAATAATTATTTAGGAAGAGGAACAAAACAAAATTATAAAAATGCATTTGATTATTTTCAAAAATCAGCAGAAAATAATAATATAAATGCACAAAATAACTTGGGATCTCTATATGAAAATGGTGAAGGAATAGAAAAGAATTTAGAAAAAGCCTTTTATTGGTATCAAAAAGCAGCAGAAAATAATAATATAAATGCACAAAATAACTTAGGATCATTATATTATAATGGTAAAGGAACAGAGAGAAATTTAGAAAAAGCCTTTTATTGGTATCAAAAAGCAGCAGAAAATAATAATACAAATGCACAAAATAACTTAGGATCATTATATTGCAATGGTGAAGGAATAGAAAGGAATTTAGAAAAAGCCTTTTATTGGTATCAAAAAGCAGCAGAAAATAATAATACAAATGCACAAAATAGCTTAGGATTATTATATAAAAATGGTAAAGGAACAGAAAGAAATTTAGAAAAAGCTTTTTATTGGTATCAAAAAGCTGCTGAAAATAATAATGCAAGTGCACAAAATAACTTAGGATTACTATATTATAATGGTAAAGAAATAGAAAGGAATTTTAAAAAGGCTTTTTATTGGTATCAAAAAGCAGCAGAAAATAATAATAAAAATGCACAAAATAACTTAGGATTATTATATGAAAATGGTGAAGGAACAGAAAAGAATTTAGAAAAGGCTTATTATTGGTATCAAAAAGCTGCTGATAATGATCAAATAAATGCACAATTTAATCTTGCATATTTATGTTACAATGGTAAAGGAACAGAAAGGAATTTAGAAAAAGCCTTTTATTGGTATCAAAAAGCAGCAGAAAATAATAATACAAATGCACAAAATAATTTAGGATCATTATACGAAAATGGTGAAGGAATAGAAAAAAATTTAGAAAAAGCCTTTTATTGGTATCAAAAAGCTGCTGATAATAATCAAATAAATGCACAAATTAATCTTGCTAATTCATATAAAAATGGTAAAGGAACAGAAAAAAATTTAGAAAAAGCTTTTTACTGGTATCAAAAAGCTGCTGAAAATAATAATACAAATGCACAAAATAACTTAGGATCATTATATCATAATGGTGAAGGAACAGAAAAAAATTTAGAACTAGCCTTTTATTGGTATCAAAAAGCTGCTGAAAATAATAATTCAACTGCACAAAATAACTTAGGATTACTATTTTACAATGGTAAAGGAACAGAAAGGAATTTAGAAAAAGCCTTTTATTGGTATCAAAAAGCAGCAGAAAATAATAATTCAAATGCTCAAAATAACTTAGGATCGCTATATAAAAATGGTGAAGGAACAGAAAAGAATTTAGAAAAGGCTATTTATTGGTATCGAAAAGCAGCTGATAATGATCAAATAAATGCACAATTTAATCTTGCATATTCATATAAAAATGGTAAAGAAACAGAAAGGAATTTAAAAAAAACCTTTTTATGGTATCAAAAAGCTGCTGAAAATAACAATGTAAGTGCACAAAATAACTTAGGATTATTATATTATAATAGTAAAGAAATAGAAAGAAATTTAGAAAAAGCCTTTTATTGGTATCAAAAAGCTGCTGAAAATAATAATACAAATGCACAAAATAACTTAGGATCATTATATCACAATGGTGAAGGAACAGAAAAAAATTTAGAACAAGCCTTTTATTGGTATCAAAAAGCTGCTGAAAATAATAATATAAGTGCACAAAATAACTTAGGATTATTATATTATAATGATAAAGGAATGGAGAGAAATTTAGAAAAAGCTTTTTATTGGTATCAAAAAGCAGCAGAAAATAATAATACAAATGCACAATATAACTTAGGATCATTATATGAAAATGGTGAAGGAACAGAAAAAAATTTAGAAATGGCTATTTATTGGTATCAAAAAGCTGTTAATAATGAACTTACATATTCACATAATAATGGTAAAGAAACAGAAAATAATTTAGAAAAAACCTTTGATTGGTATCAAAAAGCAGCAGAAAATAATAATACAAATATACAAAATAACTTAGAATTACTATGTAAAAATGATGAAGAAACAGAAACTAATTTAGGAAAAGCCTTTTATTGGTATCAAAAATCTGATGATAATGATCAAATAAATGCACAATTTAATCTTAAAAATACATATAAAAATGGTAAAGAAACAGAAAAAAATTTAGAAAAAACCTTTTATTGGTTTCAAAAAGCTGCTATAAATAATAACGCAAATGCACAAAATAACCTAGGATTATTATATTATAATGGTAAAGGAATAGAAAAGAATCTAGAAAAAGCCTTTTATTGGTATCAAAAAGCAGCAGAAAATAATAATACAAATGCACAAAATAAATTAGGATCATTATATGAAAATGGTGAAGGAACAGAAAAAAATTTAGAAAAAGCCTTTTATTGGTATCAAAAAGCAGCAGAGAATAATAATACAAATACACAAAATAACTTAGAAACACTATATGAAAATGGTGAAAAAACAGAAAAAAATTTAAAAAAAGCCTTTTATTGGTATCAAAAAGCAGCAGAAAATAATAATATAAATGCACAAAATAACTTAGCATCATTATATGAAAGTGGTGAAGGAATACAAAAGGATTTAGAAAAATCTTTTTATTGGTATCAAAAAGCAATTTATAATAATCAAATTAATACACAATTTAATCTTGCATATTCTTATTATAATAGTAAAGAAACAAAAAGGAATTTAGAAAAAGCCTTTTATTGGTATCAAAAGGCAGCAGAAAATAATAATACAAATGCACAAAATAACTTAGGATCACTATATTACAATGGTGAAGGAATAGAAAAAAATTTAGAAAAAACTTTTTATTGGTATCAAAAAGCTGCTAAAAATAATAATACAAATGCTCAATATAACTTAGGATTATTATATTATAATGGTAAAGGAACAGAAAGGAATTTAGAAAAAGCCTTTTATTGGTATCAAAAAGCTGCTAACAATGATCAAATAAATGCACAAAATAATTTAGGATTATTATATCACAATGGTGAAGGAATAGAAAAAAATTTAGAAAAAGCCTTTTATTGGTATCAAAAAGCTGCTGAAAATAATAATGCAAGTATACAAAATAACTTAGGATTATTATATTATAATGGTAAAGGAACAGAAAAAAATTTAGAAAAAGCCTTTTATTGGTATCAAAAAGCAGCAGAAAATAATAATACAAATGCACAAAATAACTTAGGATCACTATATTATAATAGTGAAAAAATTTAGAAATTCTTTTTATTGATATGATATCAAAAAATTATACAAAATAATAATACAAGTGCATAAAATAACTTAGAATTATTATATTATAATGATAAAAAAACAGAAAGAAATCTAGTAAAAATCTTTTATTAGTATTGAAAAGCTGCTGACAATGATTAAATAAATATACAAAATAATTTAGGATCACGATATTAGGAAATTATTTCAGAAATTATAAATTAATAATTATTACTGCATCAATAAATATTTCATTCTATCACATAATATATAATGATAATTAACAAAATTAGACAATTATCAATAATAATATTTGAATAAGAATTATATTTATCAGAAAAATAAACAAGTTAAATTTTAATAATTAATAATATTAATAAATAATGAAAAAATGAAAATCAAGTAATGATAAATTATGATATATAATAGATAGTTAATAAATAATAGATAAGTTAATATACACATAATCTGAAATAATAAAGATCAATTAATTGAAATTAGAATTCTTATTTAGATACCTTTTTTTTATGCAGTCTCATCAATTGTGTATTATTCTTATTATAATAACTAAGTTTATTTTGTTCAGTAACTTTTTACGTAAGAAATTGTCAGGATCAATAATCTATGACAAATAGTTTTGTATTTAATAAATGTAAAAGTTATCAGAGAAAGAATATATTTATAATTATTTTTTTAACAAAAAATTTATCTATTATATATTAGTTAATTTGTATTTCTTTTACTTAAATTAATATGAAATTCTAAAGCTTAAAATCCTGAATCTCTAATTAAAAATCACATAACCTTAAATTATTCAAAAATAACAGCTCATATTTTTTGAAAAATATAATTTATTATGATTTATTATATTAATATATTAAGCATATTTGGAAATTTGATATTTGTAATATTATTTTTAAAATATTATACACTTTAATAATATTTTTATGGATTATGAATTTAGTATATTAATTCAAAGAACTATATAAGTATTTTCTATTTATAGATAATATAATTTACTATATGGGTAGTGTGCTATTAAAATTGAGGTACGGATCATATGATTTACTATGTCTTGTACCTCATTTTTAATAGCATACCACCCATATGGGTTCGTTTCCAGTAAAATCAAGTTATGAGGCATAGTAAATCATATGATCCGTAATGTGATTTTACTGGAAACGCTCCCATATGTTAAAATAATTGCATCATAAATATTTATATGAAATACAATTTTTTTAAAAAAAAGCAGATTCAGATCTATAAATAACTTAATCACAAGAAATTTTATTATCTGTTTTTATCCTAAATTGCATTAGGCTACTTTGCCATTAACAATAAATTTATTTAATGATTCTTTTTTTTATAGACTATATCAAATTTTGATAAATAATATAACTAAGCTACAATTCAATTAAAAAAAAAGGTTTTCTTTTTTCTTACAAGAAAGGATCATAAATTTTTAAGACTTCAATCCAACACACCTATTTTAGTATATTATCCTTATAAGTTATTCAATTAAATATATAAAATAATTTAAAATAATGGTTTTAAATTAATCAATTTATTTTTAAATAGGAAAATTATTTATCAGTCAATTAGATATAATCACAAATCAGCTAAAAATCAATCTAAATTAACCTATTTGGTTTATAGTTGATTAGAATTAAGCCAAAATTTCAACTCTGATTGGTCTAATCAGATAATGCAAAAGTTATTTAATTGGAAAATTCATCTTAAAGAAATGATAGAAATTGATCCTAAGAAATAATAAAGACAATTATTTCATTTAGAATGATAAAAATAATCGTTCAAATTGAATGATTTAATATCATTCTAATTATATAATACAAATCATTTAATTGGAATAATCTAAGCATCAAGTCTTTGTGATAATAAATCATTATTCAATAAAAAATTATTTAAAAATATTATTCCAAAGAGATGATACATTATTATTCTTATTGAATAATTTAAAAAATTGTCTCAATTAGATAATAGATTATCATTATATAAGAACAGCCAAAAAAATATCCTTTTAGGATAATATGAAATCATTTTAATTAAACTATTTAAAAAAGGTTACAGTACGTTTAACTGAAAGCTATTTGATTGAATCTATTTGTCACTACATTAAATATCATACTTTAATTGATATATTTACTATAAAATTGTTATTTATATTATGCATACGAGTGACAAATAGTTTTTGGTCAAATGGCTTTTGTTTAAACGTTTGAATACATTAAAAAAATTATTTCAAAGAATTTATCATTATTCAATAAGAATGATTTAAAAAATTATGTTAAAGAAATAATGTATTATTGTTTAATATAAATGATTTAAATAATTCACCCCTTTAGAATGATGCAATATTATTCTTATTGAACAATTTATAAAATTATTCTAAAGAGATAATACACTATCATTTAATAAGAATAATAAATAAAATCATTACTTTAGAATAATAGATCATTGTTCTTATTAAATAATTAAAAAAGTCATCCCTTTTAGATAATAGTTATTATTCTTATTAAATAATTAAAATATCATCCTTTAGAATGATGCTTTATCATTCAATAAAACAATTTAAAAAAATTGTCTCAAAGGAATAATGTATTATTATTCAATAAGAACAATTTAAAAAGATTATTCTAAAGGAATAATAAATATTATTTTTATTAAACAATCAAAAAATCATTCCTTTGGAATAATATATTATTATTCAATAATAACAATTTAAAAAAATTATCCCAAAGAAACAATGCAATATTATTTAATAAAAATAATTTAAAAAATCATTTCAAAGAAATAATACATTATCGTTAATAAGAATAATTTAAAAAATCATCCTAAAAGAATGATAGATATTGTTTTTATTGACAATCAAAAAATTATTTCTTTAGGATAATACATTATTATTCAATAAAAATGATTTAAAAAAATCATTCTAAAGAAATAATAAATATTATTCTTATTAAATGATCAAAAAATCATCTTTTTAGAATAATATATCATTGTTCAATAAAAATGATTTAAAAAAATCATTCTAAAAAATAATAAATATCATTCTTATTAAATGATTAAATAATCATCCTTTTAAAATAATATATTATTATTTAATAGAACAATTTAAAAAAATTATTTTAAAGAAATGATAAATATTATTTAATTATCAAAAAATTGTCTTTTTAAAATAATACAATATCATTTTTATTAAATGATTTATAAAATTATCCCAAGTGACAATATATTATTATTCAATAAAAAAAATAAATAAAATTATTTTAATAAGATATTAGATCATCATTCTTTAAAAATGATAAATATTATTCCTTTAGAATAATGATTATTCAATTTGAACAATTCAATATCATTCTAATCAAATGATACAAAATCATCTAATTGGAATAATCAAAGTATTATTCTAAAGAAACGATACATCATCATTTAATAAGAATAATAAAAATTGTTTAATTTAAATAATTTCAATATTATTCTATTCAAATAATAGAAAATTATCTGATTAGAATGATCAAATCATCATTTCTATAAGACGATATATTATCATTTGATAAGAATAATTCAATATTGTTCCAATTAGATGATACAAATTATTTGATTAAAACCATCAAATCATTATCCTAAAGAAATAATACTATTATTTGATAATAATGATAAAAATTGTTAAAATTGAATAATTTCAGCAGCATTCCAATCAAATGATGTAAATTTATCTGATTAAAATGATCAAATCATTATTCTTAAGAAATAATACAAAGAAATAGTTTACAGCTATTTTATAAGAATGAAATACTTAACAATTTTTTTAGCTAAGTATTTACTAGATAATCAGATTATTAGGTATTTAATAAATTAAAAATCAAAATAATAAATAATATTTTATAACTAAAATTTTTTTTTATTGATCAAAATAGGCATTTTGTATTATATAAAATAAATATTTTTTATTGTATAATAATGTATTATTATATATTTATTATATACTGAGTAATTAATAATTTGACTATCCAAGTATCCAAGTACTTATCTAAAAAATTGCTAAGTGTCCTGTTACTTATGAAAACAGCTATAATAAAAATGATGAAAGAAATCATTTTAACTAGATAATACAAAGCTATTCAATTGGCTTATAAATCAAAATTTTATTCATTTATAAAATTAACAATATAAAACTAACAAACTTTTAGATTAATCTATGAGAACCCAAGCGATTAGATCAGAAGTTTCAAAATCACTGCTAAAGCAAATAATTAGAAATATTCTCATTTTAAATGATTTTTTACTATTTTTTTTTTTCTTTGTTTTTTTTAGAAATATTTTTATTTAAATAAGTAAATCATTTTTTAATAGAATATATTATTTTTCTTTTTTTTTCTTGATT